TTYMWTWAWTTTTTTCCTAATTGTGGAATACATTGATTATATTTGAAAAAATTAGTCATTAAACAATATGCTGTGTTAATTGGCCAATTTTGATGACTATCTAACATTTCATACTATAGATATTCCATAATAAATGTATCAATTATCCCACTAAATGCAATTAATTTATTTCTATTTTAGTATTGTAAGTCAAACTGTGTATACATTTCTTATATAGAAATACTTATATATATTTCTGATATTTCCTTTAACAAACATTTACATAGCACTTACTATATGCCAGGCAATAGTTTAAATATCTAAAATATTGTATCTATTATAGATTTCCTTTATACTATTTAACCTTCTTAATTCTACAAAGTAAAMTATTATTATTCCTATTTTCAGATAAGGACACTAAAGCACAGATGATTAATTCATTTGTTCAAGATGACAAAAACAGTAATTAATTGATCAAATCCAGACACTCTGACTRCAGAGTTGATGCTCTTAAACACCACCCCATGTCTCTGAAATATAAATTCTTAAAAACAAAATGWTGTATTAACATTTGGGAGTTCTTGATATATTTTACTAATTTTTTWATGGAATATGTGTAAAAGCTTACATACCTACCAGCAGTAAAACAGGAAGGCAATTTCAGTATGAATTCAACAACAGACTTTGTTTTGCCAACTTGGGAAAAATATGCTATGTTTCCTTGCCTTAATTTTAACTTACTTGAATACAATCAGGATTAAAGATTCTATTAACCATTTGTTACTTCAACTTTTAAAGTTGTTCTATGACAAGATACATCTGCATTTCTTCATCCAATAACCATTCATTTAGTGACCATTATGTCCCAAGCACATTTTAAGGCACTTGAAATATTTTGAGCAGAAGAGATAAAATCAGTGCCCTCAAGATGCTTACAGTCTTCCGGGGAGAAASAAACAACAAAAATAAGGAATAAGTATAGAGTTCACATAAATAACAAGTGCTACAATGATAAAGAAGCAGGTTAGGAGTGGTAAGACTGCTGGGTACACTGTAAACCGAATGGTAAGGTAGGTTTCGTTGAGAAAACCATGTTTGAGAAAAATTTTGGAGACAAGAAAGTTAGCCAGGGGCATATCAAGCAGCAGAAATTTCCAGGTAGAGGAACCAACCAGGGGAATATCATGGAGGGAGAACTTACAATAAGGAGTATCAGTCCAGGGTATCCAAGGACATCAAGAAAGCCTTTGAGAAGAGCTAAGTGAGTCAGTTTAACAGGACCAAAGCCACCATTCACAGGATCACTCTGGGCACTGTTTTAAAAATAAACTCTAGGCCAGGCACAGTGATGCACATCTAGAACCCCAGAAACTGGGGAGAACGAAGCCCAAGGATAGCAAGTTCAAGGCCAGCMTCAGCAATCTTAGTGAAAACCTTAGCAACTTAATGAGACCCTGTTTCAAAATGAAAAAAAATGGCTGAGGATGTAGCTCAGTGGTAAAACATCCTTGAGTTCAACCCTAATACCCAACCCCCAAGAAAAGGAGAAAAATGTTGGGGGGAGGAAAAGAAAAAAATAAATTATAGGATATTTGGCTAAGGTAAAGAGAACAGGTAAGAGGCTATTAAAATGTTTCYAGCGGACAGTCCAGGTTAATAGAGTTTGTAGCAGTGGAGATGGGAAGAATGGATGAATTCTGAGAATGATTAGAAGGTAGAGACAAGCAATATCAAAACTGGATGTGGAATGTAAGACAAAGATCTAGGCTATGATAAATGAAGATAGGCTCAGAAATTGGGTTTTAAATAATTTGAAGGTTCTTTACTCCATACTCGAAATAAAATGAATTTTAATAGATTTTGTAAAAATTACTTACATATAGTTTAAAGTCATCCAATATCATATACATTATAAAATTTTCTAAGCTTATTTTATTTTTGTTAATGGTATCTTTGACATATACATACTTGTTTTTTAGATTTTTATATAAGCAAACTGATTAACATTTTTTATCTCAGCTTTAATTTAGTGCAAACAAACATGTTCTAAATTTCTTTCTGTTCTTTGTTTACCAGTTTACATTTAATACTTCACTATATTTGGAACTAATTTTGATGTGTGATAAGAAAATGTCAAACTTTTTACTTGTCAATCATTTGGTATAGTGTCGTTATTTGACTGCTATCCTCAACATCCATAAGATTTGGGGGTTTTCTATTTATTCATTAAACTACATTTAAATTTATCTGCCAATTTCAGACTTTTAAAATTATTGCTGCATGGAAGCAATGATAAACTCTTTACTGCTTCACACTTAAAGTTATAAAAATTATACTAATTACTCAAGCTTTCTTGGCTCATCYTGATATTTCTAATTTCAGATTGGTTAGAAGATTCAAATATTACATTTTTTATTGGCATCACATTAAACCTGCACATGCATTTAATAAAAACCCTCATTGCTAAAACATTGAATTTTCCACTCCCTAAAGATTTCTTTGAGTATTTGAAAAATTCTCTTTATCATCAAAATTTTAAAATAAATTTTAAAAGAATAGTCTTAAGTGTTGGCCTCTTGGTTTCCTGCTTTTTAGTTCAGCCTTTCCATTTGMGATCTTTATCTTCTTTTCTTCAATTAAAGGGAGATTTATTTTATCACAAATGGAGTACTTCTCTTCTGTCTATTCTTTAGTGACATAAGATATCCACTTTGCATTTCAATTATTTTCCCATATCTATATTATCCAATATGCTCAAATATTTATATCTCCTTATTCAGGAGGTTATAATGTATTTTCTACATTATTGAACCTTCCTTTATTTTTTGTAATACCAATACCAATTTTGATATTGATTTCAATTATCTCAGCCAAATCTCTTTTAACCACTATTATTTGTTTCATGATATCATTCTTCACTTTTTCTTTTCTGAATTTGTTTTCTTAAATATCAGTGAGAACCCTGAGCAATGCTTTATGTAATTTCCTTGATAAACATTTTTAAAGTAAACTTATTCCTAAAGCTTGATTGTAAAATTTTCTTTTGTTTTCAACACTGTATTATCACCTATGTTGTTGTGTTTTGATTTCATTTCAGTTTAAACAGTAAGTGGAGTGTCTACCCCCATATTTACCCATGCTCGAAAAGAATGTCTGAGTGGTTTCTTTCACTGTATTCATGCTTACAACAAAACTTCTTTTGCTCATCTTGAGCTTGTGTGCTGTTCTGTATACAAATACTCTTGTTAAATGCCTGGTATCTTGTTAGGGTTTATATTGGGTGCTTCTTCTGGACTGAGAAGAAAATTCTTCATTTTTCTTTCCATTTATGATACCAAATATAAAAAAAGACTATTCCTGGACAATATGAATCCCTTAAAGTCTATAAACAAGATGCAAAATTACAACCTCTAGACTTCTGCATTAATATCCTCCATCTTTACACTCAGAAAGGTATGGACAGAGGAGATGAGGACAATATGATGCTGTAACAACTTTGACCTCTTCTAAGCCCAGCTTTGGGGACTGCAAATACAATTTCTATGCATGTGTTTAATGGAGAYCTTGTATCTTTAACAAAGTAAATATGGAGGTTGGCTGAAGATTGAAATATTTACAGTTTTAGTCATTCAAGGCATGACCTCACCACCATCATTACCTTGTACTTTGKTAGAGAATGCTAAAAATGTCCATATATTTTTTGTAGACATTTTAATCCAAGACAAATGAAAATAAAATAATCCTTAGTTTTTTGTAATTATAATGGMATTTTGTTGACATTTTAGTGTCTAAATATTGCCCCCAAAGTTATAAAATGACCTATACTTCAGAGAATTTCCCCAACTCCTCTCTATTGATATAGACTTCATGTAAGTCTGTATTCTTATCACTTATCATTTTTATTTTTACTCTCCACAAATTCATATTTACTATTATCAACATTCATAGGAAGGTAATTTGGAAATCAAATATATAAATGCACAAGAACATAAAGAGAAAGCATCATAGTYAAGTAAAGAAAGATTTCCAGCAATCCACACATGGCTTTTCTACTGGCTCTCAGTTGATGCTTACTGTTGGAAACACTCACACATGAAAATGACAGGTGACCAACTCACAAAGGAGCTCCTCAGTGTTTCTAGTACCTTCACAAGGGTGTTATTGATGGAGAYATGAATTCTTTGGTGAACATGTTCATCACTACCATGAGGACAAGGAGTCCTCTGTGATTGTGAGTATAAGAAATCAAGAACAGTCAGTGGGCTGAAGCAAACTACTGCTAAGCTGATGATCCCCAAGACAATATACCCCAGATGATCATGATGGTGTCACATTTCAATAGGAATGGARGCAACAGTGACATAAGTGACAAACAAGACAGATGACTATAATGACTATAAAACTAAAGTGTGTAGAGTCAGCTTCTCTTCATGCTGTTGTGGTACGCATCCCAGAGTCTCACTCTGTTCTTGTGTTGAATCTCCAGTTATCTCCAGAATCTTAGGGGCATCAGATGAAAATGGACTTTCTTCCTTCCCCAACCAAAGGGTAATAAAATTGGGAGAAAGAATGAATKGCTAGAAGTCATGGCGACCTGCATCTGCTGTGACCCTGTGTTTCATCATAGTTTTCAACCACTGGACACCACCTAAAGRACAGCTCTCAACCACTCCGTGAAAATGTATTATAAATAAGAAACCAGAGATAAACCTCTAAGGCACACATTGTCTCACTTTTTCATGTTTGTTTTGTCTTAGGAAGTGATTGTGTCTGTGCATTTTCTTTGCTTAGGTRATGTAATTTCAAAATAAATTTTATCCAAGCCAAAAAAATGTATTTCATACCTTTTTAACACTCTAATATCTATGTATAATATAGTCTRAAATCAACAATAAACAGATACTTGAMTATTTATACATGAATATTTACAAYATTACTTAACAAGGGATTTTCAAGTTAAAGATGACACATTGAAATAAAAATTGAGTGGTCTTACCTTTCTGGGTACGTGAGTGATTTTAACATGAGACTCTGGATCCTGTAGTTGCATGTGGAACATTGTATATTTGAGGTCTGGAAATACGTCAAACCAATGCTTGAAATATTTACAACATCAGTGAAAAATTGAGCAAGAATATTGACTTCTTGAAGTCTATAAAATGGTTTGCTCTTCCTAAATAAAAAATTTGCATATTAATGATTTTAAACATGCATTATGTCTAAAATCAGTATAATCCTAATGAGACAGGATTTAGAAAATAATTTGATATGGAAAAGGCCAAATAAAATACTTGTTAAATATTTATTAAAATAATCTAAACAGTAATTTACTATAAACCTAATAAAATAATAATACATACATACATTTCCACAGATATATTGGGGGAATACTTTTGAGGAAAAAAAAAGTGAGATATCCTGTCTCACTCTAGTCAGAATGGCAGTTATCAAGAATATAAACAACAATAAGTGTTGGCGAGGRTGTGGGGGAAAAGGTACACTCAAACATTGCTGGTGCAGCCAATCTGCTGGTGCAGTCAATCTGGAAAGCAATATGGAGATTCCTTAAAAACCTTGGAATGGAACCACCATTTGACCCAGCTATCCCACTCCTTGTTCTATACCCMAAGGACTTAACAGCAGCATACTACAGTAACATAGCCAAATCAATGTTTATAGYAGCCCAATTCACAATAGCTAAACTGTGGAACCAACCTAGATGTCCTTCAATAGATGAATTAATAAAGAAACTGTGGTATATATACACAATGGAGTATWACTCAGCAATAAAAGAGAATAAAATGATGGCATTTGCAGATAAATGGTGGAGTTAGAGAATATCATGCTAGTAAGCCAACCCCCCCCCCGAAAAAAAACAAAGGCTAAATGTTTTTCTATGATAAGTAGATGCTTATACATAATGGGGTGCAGGGGCAGGGATGAATGGAGAAACTTTAGATTGGGCAAAGAGGAGGAGGGAAAGGGAYATGGGGGTAGGAAAGATGGTGAAATGAGATGGACATCATTACCCTAAGTGCATGTATGATTGCACGAATGGTGTGACCCTACTTTGGGTACAACCAGAGAAGTAAAAAACTGTGCTCCATTTGTGTATAATGAATGGAAGAGCATTCTGCTGTCATGTATAACTGATATGAGCAAATAAATAATTTTTTTAAAAGTGAGCTATCTTGTTTTTCTGACAGAGTGCCTAGATTATACATTTGTTTAAGATTATTTGTTTTACATTTCTTTCTTTGGACACTTCAATATCACAATTCCTTAAATAGATTAGAARTTCAAATAATAACTCCACTGTTCTGTGCCATCTTATCAAAGATTCCATACTTAAAGGGATAATCTATAAAAGCCAGAGATTCAAAAGAAAAATCAAGGGTAATAGTTAGTGAATACAATTTCCTCAGCACTGATGAAGTACCCAGAATTCTAACAACACTCCACATATTAGACCTCATTTACCTATTTCAACAACTCTTTTTATTAGGAATTCTGAGCATTACTATTAYACARATGAGAAAAGTGAGTAGCAGAGCATCCCGATGCCTTTCTTAAAGTCACACAGCTGACAGACAAGCACGTGGATGTCAACAGCCTCACTGGTGCTTCTCTGCCAATTCTTCATTTCCATGTCCCTGGAGTTGGTTGTATCAACATGGATTTACCTGTCTGCAAACAGACTCAACCTACTCCACTGCACTGTGTCTCTTTAGATAAAACTAAGAGCAAAGAAAAGAAAAAGTGGAGGCAGCATATGAGGGGGAGGTGGATCAAAATGGAGGAAAAAAGGAACAGGGGAGAAGAATGAGAGAAGGAAGGGAAGGAGAGGAAAAGAAAAGAAACAAAGTTAAGGAGAGGAAAGGAAAGGAGAGAAGGGAGAAAATTGTTTTTTAAAGTCTATTGAAATAAAATCTGTAAAAACATAAAGAAAGAAAGAAAGAAGGAAGGAAGGAAGGAAAGAAAATCTTATTGAAAGAAGCTTCTCTTTTGAGAGAAGAAAGACTTGCTTAAACCAAGGTGAAAATCTCATACAGAAACACTGAAGAACAAACATTTCCTACCATATCTTATTTTTTATTGCCCTCCTGTTTTATTCCTTCACAACAGCTAGGCCCAAAGAAGGATGCCATTTTTTATCCTTAAGGTTTATCCCAGCTCCCTCCCAGCAGAGCCACCTCCTCCTCTTTCACAGAATATGTCATTGGATATCTCCCTAATGTTTTTCCAAGAAGTTATCTGGATTTCAATACTTCAAATTCAACATATCCATATAGGAACATGTTACCTTTCCCACCAATTTGCATCCACCCCAGTGGTTTTAAAAGCCAACAGGTTGCTCATGATCACCAAGTAGCTACCTCAAATTGAGAGTCCAGAAACATATATCCACCAGTATTCACTTTGACATTTGAATATCACAAGGATGCCTAAAGCTTAGAAGTTTCAAATCTAAACGAATCATTTTCCCCAACACCTTCCCCTGACCACAAAAAGAAAATAAAATCTAAACAAAAACATAAATTTCCTAATGATATTAAAAGGCATTATTATCTTTATGGTGTTGGATAAGTAAATTAATGTGTTGGATAAGTAAATTCATACTACCCTCTATTGCCTTATCCAAAAAATCAGGACTCATCACTAATACCACTCTCCAGTCAATCCCCACATCTAGTTTATCATAAATTCTTATTATGAATCTTACCTAAAAAAATATCTTGAATCTTTGAATCCAATCTCATTTTTCTATCTCCTTTGCAAATCCTCTTACCCAGGAGACCATTGTATCTTGCCTATATATATAATTGCAATAGCACTCAATCCCCTCTCCAATTTCCTCTCTAACCAATGTGGTCTATTGTTTTTCCAAAATAAAAATACAGTCTTGGCCCCAGTCAAACTTCCCAATGAAAACATTTCGGTGATTTTCATTTATCCAGTGAATTGATTACAAATTCTGGAGCATGCCTGTGAATTCTTATTCCTGCGATATCTGGGAGATCTCTATCTCATCTTTCTCCCTCCCCGCCCCTCTCATTTGTTCTGCCCCTATTCTGAAACACAGAGCTCCTGTCAGGTCCCAGAGTGGCTTGTGCTGCTTTCTGCATCAAGTTCTTTGCATTTGTGGGTCCCCAGCCTAGAATGCAGCAGGGCAGTGACCCATTGATCATTTAGATCACAACTAATGAAAAAATACCCACAAAAATGTTTTAATGACCCCACTAATTCATATTCCCCACTTTAAGTTTCCATACTTAAATTTGTCTCCAGATATTTTTCCTGGACAGATTTTACTTTTAACTTATTTATAATTTGACTACCCTTTTATTCCTCACTGTGCTTCAAGCGTAATGAGGAGAGGACCAAGTCTGTTTTGCTCATTGCAATATTCTAAACACTTAGCAGAGGGCCTGACTCAATGTACATAAAACTGTTTGAAAATAGGGATGATGTACATACTTGTGTTCCTTCTATCATTAATTTAAAACCTATATGCTGAAATCATATAAGGGCAGAGATGCAATTTGTCGAAGAGTTTCTTTCCCATTCCTAGCATTGTTCCTGGGCTATGAAAACTCTCAAAATTTTTTAATTTAATGATTAAATTGGATCATCCCTAAATAAGTCTCACCTTACTATGTAATAGTATACACTTTTTAAGTAGCCACCAAGCTCCACACATGAAGTTACTCTAGATTGATTTCTTTTTTTGATTTTCACGTTCATTTAATCATAAAAACATACCACATAACTATTTGTAAGCCTTAAAACCTCTAGAGTCTCACACTTCTTTTTCATGCCCACTGACTTGATCCACGCCCCCTCATCTTTTATAGGAATATGGCAGTAGCTCTAYCTGTGGACTCTTGGCACCAATCTCGTTCCCTCTAATCTACCTACTGCTCATCCATCTAGGGAATTGTTACAATCTGAACTTGTAATACTGGTATTTCCTGTTTAAAGTCCTGCATTGGCATATTCATACTTTTGGTCTCACAAGATCTAAGTGATTTTTAGTTACAAAGGAAGTGTGTCCACACTATATCACTAAGTATAACAATCAGGATGCAGACCACATTTTCAGTAAGATACACATTTTGCTAAATAAAAAAATTTATCCACTGGGTCATGTGCAAAAACAACAACCACCAAAAAAGAGGCTCAGAAGAGGACAGAGAAGGAAAAGAACAAGAAAGGGGAAAAAGAGGTGAAAGAAGGGGTGGAATGATTATTTTTTAAATTGGGTGATACAATTATAGGCAATTCTCATTCTCCAGTCTATAAAATGACACATTTTCTACAGTGAGGAAATATTCCTGTTTCAATTTTGGAAAGGCAAATAAAAGATCATTAACATTCTCTGACTCCCAGAGCATCTAAAATGTAGTTCAAATCCCCAAAATAATTAATATATAAACAATAAAGCCATTAGCCAGGGTTAGATGGGCAGATTTTACCACGGAATGTTCCCATATTTTACATTTCTCCATGGTGTTCCATATGTTTGCAAAGTAAATCAGGACATAAGTTTGCTTTCCAGAAAAATTCAAAGCAACTGCTTGAGAACTCTACTCTGTGCACTATTCTTAAATTATGTGTTTTCCCATCTCCCTATGTTTGAAAATAACTTCTCCCTGTTTTTGGAGTCCATCACCTTATTTTCAAATGCTCCCTTGCTTCTCCTCTGTGCTTTAACAGTAATTTAGTGATATTCTATCATAAAACTGATTACTCAGAGATGCAATTATAGCTTAGTCTTCCAGTATTCTGTGCCTTCCTTGTGAACAATAAAACTATTTCAGTTTGAGTTCTAGTACTCTGTAAAATGTCTGAATAAGATTTGTGATGAATAATGTGTTAGATAAGTAAATTCATACAAAAGCTAAAAAAGCATATTTCTGATAAGACTAAATAATTGACTATATGAATATGCATAAATATACATACTCAAATTAGAATTACATACAATGTTACAAAAAGTAGTCAACTATTTTGCAATAATATATACAATGACAACACATTTGACCAATGTTCAAAATTAGATAAATAACGCTTTAAACCTTTTTATAATAAAAGACGGGGGCTTGATAAAAGTAAAAATATCTGGATTGAAATTCTAATTTGATTTCTTTTATCTTCTTTTCTAAGTGACTAAAGGAAGGTTTAAAAAAGGAAAAGAACAAGAATAATTGGTACTCTTGCATTATTATTACATTTATTTTTTTCTAGAGAGAGAGAATTTTTTAATATTTATTTTTTAGTTTTCAGTGGACACAACATCTTTATTTTATTAGTATGTGGTGCTGAGGATCGAACCCAGTGCCCCGAACATGCCAAGCGAGCGCGCTACCGCTTGAGCCACATCCCCAGCCCTACTACATTCATTTTACCATTAAATAATCTGCAATGCTTTTACTAACTTTAGAAAATTAATGTTAGAGTCTTTAATATTAAAAATGCATTTTTCTCATAAGTTTTTAAAAATTGCCTGACTCTCAACCAAGAATATTATTCCTGAGGATGATCATTGCTTTCCATGTTGGAAGGTCTTTATTTTACTTCAGTACAGAAGTTTTCAGTGATTTTTATCAACATGAACTTTTTTTAAATCATTTTCTTTGTGTAGTGCATGGTCTAAAATATTTTGTCTTAAACACTGTATCAGTTGTAAAGTGTGTCTCCTTTTATATTTTAATGTTATTCTTATTTTAATTAAATGTTAATAATACTATAATATTAAAGACACTGCTATTGTTCTGCAAATAAAATAGGCAGGAACTTTTTCCTAGTTCATAGTTAATGGCTGAATAAATCTATATGTCACTGTATACTCAGGTCCGAGGTCCCTCACACATTAAATTTAATCAATTTGCCAATTCAAGTACTAGGACTACCTAAAATGTGACAGGAGCAAATGTTTGAGATACCAACTAAACCTCCTGAAACTCCAATATCATCAATAGCCATTCAAAAGTTAAACCTATGTGCAGTCATAGCAAAATAAAATTTATCTTTTATTTAATCACCTGATATGGTAACTGTGAGTCTTTTGAAAGCAACTCTGTTATTTAATGGCTTTCTAGAAGTCCAACACACTATATTGGAAGTCATAATTTCAACTGTAACAGATACCTATTTGTCATACTTTTGAGAGAAAATGAATTTCCTACTTTAAGAATTTATTAAACACACAGACATTCAAGAAACCCACATGATAGTTGGCTTTGAGATGATTAGATAACATTATGCACATGCATACGAAGCTAAATAGAAGATTAAGGAAAAACATCCCTCTCCTATTATTTAGGAACTTTGTGGCTGAGCATGTATTTCTGAAATACTAAAATGGCATCACTTGGTTATTAACTGATGCCACTGGACCTTCACTTCTGCCACTGTGAACATGACGTTGCATGAAAACTGGAGAAACTGGGAAAGCAAGATTGTTAGGAAAAATACTGGAATTAAGAATGGAAAGATGAGGCTGAAGTCATAGCTCAGCAGTAGAGTACTTGCCTACCACGTGTGAGGCACTGGGTTCAATTCTCAGCACTACGTAAAAATAAATAAGGTATCATGCCCACATCCAAATTTAAAAAAAAGAATGAAAAGACAGAAAACATTTCTTTTTGTACTCTTGTAACTGAGGTAGTAACCAGTTCTATAATATTAATTAGGTATTCGGGCTCACAGTCAATATCTTCTTCTTTAAAATGAAAGAATCCAAAGGTGACACATGGATCCTTGTAATATCTAACATTTTAATACTCTTTGGATAGAAATTTACTCTGTTTGGACTATCTTCTAAACTGGATACTCAAGATAGCAAACATTTAATGTATGAAAGAAGAAAACATGAAATGGTACTTACTCATAGAGCCTTGGATTTTCAATGGTTCCAAGTTGGTTTAATAATCTAAATGAAATATAGCCATCACTCATAGCTTCACCCACAGCAACTACACTGAGAACAAAATAATAAGCTACGAAATAAAAATATAAAAGGCCATTCACATTATTTTTTAAACTTTAATTTTGGTACATATACAAATACACAGAGGTATATATTATTTAATTTAGTCCTATATTATATATGTTAAATGATATTCATTAGAAGCTCTCTTTTTGTCCTTAAGTAATATATTTTGCTTGTTTGTCAGCTTTTTTTTTTTTTCTTTGAGGGAGGGAATACCAGGAATTGAACTCAGAGGCACTCAACCACTGAGTCACATCCCTAGTCCTATTTTGTATTTTGTTTAGAGCCAGAGTCTCTCAATAAATTCCTTAGAGCCTTGTCATTGCTGACTCTGGCTTTGAACTCAAAATCCTCCTGTCTTAGCCTATTGAGCTGCTGGGATTTAAGGTGTGTACTACTGCACCTGGCTTGTTTGTCAACTTTTGATTAGTCTTAAAAACAAAGAATAAGAACCTAGTCATGATTGTGGTTAGGATTTGGCCAAATACCTAATAAATTCTAATTAATCTGCAAATCAGAAAATAAACAACATTCAAAATTTGGGCCAATAAACAATTTGTACTTTTCAATAAGATATCTAAGGTAAATATGATAAGGTTTCTTAATTATCTGATTAATAGTCCAAGCTACATCTGCTTGACTACCATCATCCCTAATTTTTTGGCAGCTGAAAGAGTAAATTAAATGACTCTATTAAATTAAATAACTCCAGTAGAGTAAGTTCACTGTAGCTCCTATTCAAAATGCCCTCATGAAAATTTAGTATAGTATACCTTCCAGAGGCAAAACTAGTGAAATCACCCCTATTCTCAACAGTTTCAGGATTACACTGGAAGCCCTGACTCTGCCAGTTATTTTGAGTCTTCCCTAGAAGACAATATACATATTCAAACACAATGTGAAATCTGTAAATTTTCCTGTGAGATATACAAAAGTTATAAATGCTCCTGGTAATCGTTTCCACTAAACAGTCAGAAGTAACATCATTCATTGTGCTTAGAATTACCTCAAATAATGTAATGCATTTATGACTGCATCTTGTAAATTACTAATGCAAGAGATATAAAGAAACACTTCTTATTCTGAAGGTGATGCCCAGCTTCAGGCAGAGTATTTTCACCCCCCTCACCCATAAATTGGCTCCGGTAATTTCTGGCAGCACCGTATATTAAAATGTTACAGAATAAGCCACCATCCTACTATAACTATGTAGAAGTGGTAGGTGAGCGATATATATTTTCATACAAAATCAAGCCCAAAAGGAGGAAGTAGAAATGAAGAAAAAAAATTCAAGGCCATAAGGGTTGAAGCCCTGGGACCTGAGAACTGGGTGAATGAAGGAAAGTGAGGCTGAAGTATCAACCTCCACAAAGGAAAAAGAGACCTGGTACTAAGTGACAGAGCTGAAATGCAGGTTCCTGTAGAGATCCAGGAACCTCAATTTCCTGCCTCATCATTGAAGTGATCAAAGGGGAAATTACTCCTCCTGGTTCTGTGCCTGTATGAATCTTTTTAAAAATCATTTCTTTTCTTCTTTTTGAGGTTCTAAGGATTGAACCCAAGGCAAGACAGGCATTGTACCACCGAGGTACAAACCCAGCAGGTATTAAGGTTAAGAAAATAATAACAACATGAAATTTAAATTAAGACAAGTCATTTAATGAAGAGCCCCAAACAATTTACATAAAAGTCCTCTAGGATTGTAATGATATAGTTCTAGAAAAAAAGGAGTCCAATGTGCTCTGAGAATTTTGAAAAACAGCTGGCTGCTGAACATTTTCTATATATATGAAACACATGAATTTCTGATTTAAAAGAGCACAGATTTTTCATTAACAATTAATCCAGACTTGAAGGGAGCGTCAATATTGAAAAATAACACCAAAACAAAATAAATTAATAAATACAATAAGAGGAAAGTGACAGATTATCTTCAGGAAATAATTAGGTTCATAAAACCTGGGGAATAAAAGCTTGAATGAACATAAAAGAATTAATATTTTCAATAAGCTGAACAAAAATGTTGATATAGAACTTATCTCAAACTATGTTTTCATTTCTAAGTGAGAAAAAGATAAGAATATTTTCAAGGGGAAAAAATAGAGGTAGAGACCACTAGTGAAAAGTCACTGATAGGGTATATGTCAGGAAGAAGTCAACACTGAAAGGAAGAAATGCAGGATCAGAACTCCAGACACAAATATAGAAAAAATAAATTTGGAAATAAAATTGAATAGTTAATGCAATAATGATATTTATAATTAATATTGAGTATTAAATAAATGGAAGCAAAATACCACAGAATAAAATATTAAAGATAGATAAAAAGAAAAGATTCAAAGAATCTGTGAGGTAAATTATTGCTGTGAATATAATCTAATAAAATAGTCCATGGGGGTAAGATAAATTTTTACATATAAAGCAAAAATAAAAGCAGCAAATATGATATATAATATATTCAGGGAAACATAACAGCACTATATACATTCCAAACAGCAAAAGCAGAATATAAGTTTATATCAAGCATCAATATAGAATTTATTCCTTATCAGAGTAAACATTTTGCTCTGCAAATGACTGTGAAAAGGTTGAAAAGACAAGTTACAGCCAGAAGACTTCTAGAGCTAATAAAAAGTTTTAGTAAAGCAGCAGGATACAAGATCAACACACATAATAAACCCAATAATAAACCCACTGAAAAAGAAATTGGGAAAACTATCCCATTCACTCTAACCTCAGAAAATAAAATAAAATACATGGGAATGATTCTAACAAAAGATGTCAAGAATCTCTACAGTGCAAACTATAGAACACTGAAGAAAGAAACTGAAGAAGACCTTAGAATATGAAAATTTCTAATGCAAGAGATGTAAAGGAACACTTTACATCTTGTTCTTGGATCTGGAGAATCAATATTATTAAAATCGCCATAACCAAAAGCATTTTATATTGATTCAATGCAATCTCCATTGAATTGCCAATGATATTCTTCACAGAATTAGAAAAAGCAATTCTAAAATCCATTTGGAAAAATAAGAGATGTAGAATAGCCAAAGCAATCCTGAAAAAAAAAAATGATGCTGGAGACATCACAATACCAGACTTTGAAATACACAAGAGAGCTATAGTAACAAAACAGCATGGTACTGACAACCCAGACAGACATGAAAATTAATGGAACAGAATAGAAGACAGAGACAAATCCATATAGATACAGTTATCTTACACTAAAGAAAGTTGCTAAAAGTACACACTGGAGAAAAGATATGCTTTTTAACAAATGGAACTGGGAAAACTAGAACCCTATATGTAGAAGAATGAAACTTAGCCTCTATCTCTCACCCTACACATAAGTTAATTCAAAGTGGATCAAAGACCTCAGAATTAGGTCTGAAACTCTCCAACTGTTCAAAGAAAATGTAGACCCAACACTGTAACCTGTTGGCACAGGAACTGCTTGCTTAGCAAGGCCCCTAAAATGTAAGAAATAAACTTAAAAACCAATAAGTAAGATCTCATCGAATTAAAAAGCTTCTATACAGCAGAGGAAAGAATTAAGAATTCCTACACAATAAAAATCTTTGTCCACCCACACCTCTGGTAGGGTATTAATATTAAGAATATATATAAAGAACTCAAAAACTTGACACCAAAAACAAATAACCCAATTAATAATTAGGCAGACGAACTGAACACACACCTCASAAAAGAAAAAATACCATTAGCCAACAAATCTATTTTTAAAATGTCCCACATTGCTAGCAATCAAGGAAATGCAAATCAAAACTATGGTGAGACTTCATCTCACTCTAGTCAGAACAGCAATTATCAAGAATACAAATGATAGTAAGTGTTGGTGAGGATATGAGAGAAAAAGTACACTCATGCATTGTTGATGGGACTGCAAACTAGTGCAACAAGTATGGAAAGCAGTATGGAGATTTCTCAAAAAAACTAGGAATGGATTTACCATATGATCCAGCTACACCACTCCTCAGCACATATCCAAAAGAAGTAAAATCGGCGTACTACAGTGACACAGCCACATGAATGTTTACAGAAGGACAATTCACAATAGCTGAAATATGGAACCAACCCAGGTGTGCTTCAACAGATGAGCAGATAAAGAAAATGTGGTACACGTACACGATGGAGTTTTACTCAGCCATAAAAATGAATAAAATTACGGCATTTGCTGGTAAATGGATGGAACTGGAGACTATGATGCTATGAGAAATAAGCTACACTCAGAAAGTGAAAGGCCCAATGTTTTCCCTCATATGTGAAATCAAGCCCAAAGTAAGCAGGAAAAAATGAGAGAGAGAAAGAAAGCGGGGAACAGTGGGGAGATTCCATCAAATAAAAGAAAGATGGGTAAGCTATATGGAGGAGACTAAGGGGGAGGGAGAAGGGGCAGGATAAATGAAGAATAAAGGAATGAATCTAACCTAACTTTCCTATGCATATATATGAATGTACCACCATGAATCTCACCATCAGGTATCTCCACAAAACACTAACAACAACAAAAAGAAACCTAAAAAATAAATAGCAGWAAAGTCTATAGAGTAGAGGAAAGGAAACTGCAAGAGGAAGGGGAAATACTGGGGACAGAATTTAAGCAACTTACATTCCATTTTTTTTTAATTATGTAAAAATGAATCTTAATGTCGTGTATAACTAACATGAAACAGTAAAAAAAAAAACTGTGAAGATGAGTTGCAGAACCTGAGAAAATATTTTTAGACCAAATAACTAATGAGTACTACTTTCTACAATATGTAAAGAAATCTCAAACTCAATAGTTAAAAAATAATCCAATTGGAAAATGCCAAAAAGGCGTGAACACACTCTTCACCTAAAAAGGATTTATAAAGAGATATTCAATATAATCACATATCAGGCAACGCAAGTTAAAGTCAAATGTGGTGTCAGTATATACTCATCAGAATCAGTAAGATTTCAAAAATAATGACAAAGCCAAGTGGGAATCAGAGAAAATAGATCACGCATAGTTTGCTCAGGGGAATACAAAAYGATATAGCCATTTTGTCAGTCTCTTATAAACCTAAGCAAGCAATTAGTTTATGATTCAAAAATTGCACTCCTGAGCCTTTGTGACAAAAATGAAAACATATTCACACAAAAATTTGTACACAAAATTCTTAATAGCATTATTTGTAATAGCCAAAAACTAAATTCATCCTTTACGCTCTTTAATAGCTTAAAGGTCAAACCATAGTGCATACATACTCTGGAATACTACTCACTAAAGAAAAGGAATGAATTATTCATACATGTTACATGAATGACCTTTCAGGTTATGTTACATGAAGAAGAGCCAACAACAAAATCACATACTAAATAATTCCTTTTATATAACATTTTTGAAATGACAAAATTTTAGAAATATATTTTAATGGATGTCAGAAGTCAGAGACAGCTGGGAAATAGCATATATGGTTATAAAAGCACAACATAAGGGATCCTTGTGGTGAGGAACTGCTCAGTATCTTAACTGTTGTGGTAGAGACATACCATATACATGTGACTAATCTGTATACAGATTATACATACACACACACACAYAYACACACACACACAATTTAAGAAAAGATCTGAATAAAGTAGATGGACTGTACAAACATCAATACACTGCTAATGAAATTATATTACCTATAGTATTATAAAATGTTACCATGGAGGGAAATTGGATAAAAGGTGTGTAGCTCTGTATTAGTTCTTCTATTTGCAAATCTAAAATTAATAAATAAAAATTTTAATTCATTAATGGACAGACTCAATTCAGTATAACAGGACATACAATTAAGGTTTAAAGGATTATAGTATCTTGAAATGACAGTGAGTACAACTTCAAAACCTTAACAGTAACTGGCCCACCTAAATWCCTCAGACACCAAAGTCAATGCCACTAACTTGAAACTAACCTCATAATATCCACATAAAGTGATTTCTTTATAAATCACTTCCAKTTTTTTCATCTCTAAAGAAAATAATTGTGCTATCTTTCATAGGTCCTCTTTATGTTAATTATGTAATACAACTAGCATAACATTATCTCCTGTTCTACACATTTTCTCTCATTTAACTCTAAATGTATYAGGGAGATTATTATTCATTTGCCATTTTCAGATGTATATAGTTTAAGTCTTAATTTGGTATAAGTAGTATATACAAAAGTCTTAAGCTTACTAACATGTTATATGCTGAAATGATTTCTGGAAAAAAAATCATGTGAATTTGAAGGAGGCTAGGATGATTTCTTTGGGAAAATATTATACAAGCATCTGATCAACTTATCTAAAAAAATAAAGTCYTTAGTCAAATTTGTTCAACTATCTATAACAAATTTTTTAAAGTGATGGAATTTGGGAGAGTGCAAAGCATATTTTSAATAAAATAAAAAGGACTACAGCAGGCACGGTGGCACWTGCCTATAATCCCAGCAGCTTGGGAGGCTGAGGCAGGAGGATCTCAAATTCAAAGCCAGACCCTGCAATTTAGGGAGGCCCTCAGCAACTAAGGAAGACCCTGTCTCAAAATAAAATATAAAAAAGGACTGGGGATGTGGCTTAGTGGTTAATGCCCCTGAGTTCAATCTTTGGTACAATTTTTTTTAAAAAAGGAATACAAAAAAATAATATTTTTTTCATTTGTTAAAAATGTTAACAACTTACTACAAAATGGACTTGCACTACTAGTATCCAAATACACAATGGTCCTATGAGGCCATCCTTCCACTCTTCCTTTCATGCCAATTTTCCATAGCTCAGCTTCATAACCTGAGATTTAAGAAACAGAACAKTGGATACTGAACTTCTATCAAATAACATGCATATTTCAAATCACTAAAGTATAACTAAAGAATTAATAAACATAATCATTGCRATAATCACAGTCATAGATTTATTTAATAATTTAAAAAYATTTTCAAATGATGCGGTATTGGTAACTGGAGCTGGTCTCAGTGGTACAGTTCTTGCCTGGCATGTGTGAGGCCCTGGGTTTGATCCTCAGCATTGCATATAAATAAATAAATAGGTCCACTGACAACTAAAAAAAAAGTGTAGTATTCTACTTATTTCAATTACAATAATAATTCAAATTCAGGATTCATTAATAAATCCACTCTCTAAAAGTCTAATCAGAATTTAACACRTCGCAAAACTTATAGTCTATTTATAATAGGTTTTACTACTATATTATGAMTTCATAATTTTACTTGTAACTCTTTAGTAAGTTCTGCAGAATACAATGTAGTAAATGAACATATAATTTAGTTCTTTGGGTATAGCCCTCAGTTTTCCYATATACACATGCATACATRCATACACATATGATATGCATGTATATATATGATATACAATATAAATATGATATACAATATAAATAAATATATACAATATAAATATAAGCATAAAGGGCATCTATACACAGTCACATAGTAGATAACATATATTTAATAAATGTACACATATGCACATAGAATGTGTATTATATATAACAGATTTCCATATTTATAAAATTTAAATATTTATTAATAATATATACATATACATATTTCAAATGCTTCTTTGTTCCTCAACTCCTACCTCCAACATTGGAGATTTGAATGAAGTAGAAAGAATGCTTAATGGAGATTTCACAAGTTTAACTTTAGTTCCMACTTATGCTCTCTTTTTTTAACATTTATTTTTTGGTTGGACACAATATCTTTTTTTATTTATTTTTATGTTGTGCTGAGGATCGAACCCAGGGCCTCGCATGTGCTAGCTGAGCGCTCTACCGCTGAGCCACAACCCCAGCCCCCACTTRTGCTCTTAACCAATCTGGGTCAAATATGAAAAAACAATGAGACCCAAAAACCAATCCCAAAAGAACTCTGCAGAAAATGAACCCACATGATGYCATGTGGGCAGACGTGAACTAGGATAATAAAAATTTGGTATAATGCATGCCTGCCTAGAGATTCTCCATATACCTTAGTCCTGCTAAAGAAAACTGGTTGCATATGATTGGATTCAGCCTTTGTAAACACTACTAGAGCTCCTTTGGTTTTAGAAACATTTCTGGAATATTTTTTCTTGATACTGACTGGACATTTATATGCTAGGCTCTAGTATTTTCTTTGGAAAACACTGAACAGTCCCTGAAATTCTAACATTCTATTTTCATATACATTCTTTTTGCTTTATAATTTTCCACTGGAAGGCTTTAATTTTCAGAAGCTGCAATGCTTAAATGCTCTTACCAAGCTTTATTGATTTAGAAGGTGTGAACCATGTAGGATTCATGACTACTTGCTGATACCAAATGGAAACCTATCTGTAGTTCACACCTCTTCACTTGCTCCTCAAACTTCACATTAAAAACAAATTCTCAGGGMTGCAAAGAATGTGCAAATTTTTTTATTTAAATGTAAATATAATTTGATGATAAATAGTTAGATCCATTTGGCTATCAAGAACATGGGTCATAAGAGTATATTAAGTATAGAGGGCAGATCTATTTCTCTCATTAATTATCTTTTAAAATTTAGTAGTAAATATTTATTTTAATTTTTTTAAATAAAAAATTAAAATAAATATATATTTTAATAAATTGCATAGAGTTTTTATATTATAGGAATACAAGCAAGGTATTTTGGATTTTTGGGGGGAACATATGTATCTAATAATTGGCTAGTAACTTTTATGATGTTTCATAAATTCAATATATCATTTCTTTTTCTTAATCAAGAAAGCAATCAAAGTTTGTTTAATCAATAAAAATCACATGTGTATTAAAAAAATTAGTAGTAAATAAAATATTTATTCTGACAGTACCACATCTCCACAGATACATTTTCCATAAAATGTTAGCAAATTAACACATAAAYATAAATAATTGATTTTATGATTTAAATTCAACAGAAAATACTAACAATTTGGGTATTCATTTTCAAAAGGAATTACAGTAACTATACCAATCCCTCTTACCTAGCCTAGGACATGAGTTTTTCTTAAAGCTGCCACAGTCCACACATAAACTAGCCTTGTAATCTCTGTATGAAGAACAAGGAAATGAAACAAAAATGCAGTTTGTTTCCAAAGTTGCCATGAACAAGTGAATTGCTCGCTGGTGGTCACACTTAATGTATTCCAATCCTTTAAGAAAAAAAAAAAGCAAAAGAACTATAGATGTATTAAACTGAGATCAATTAGAGAAAAACTGAAGATTAAGTTCTACTAAATTCTGTGCACCTCACAAATATGAAATTTTTGACTACAATATAGTTATATCTCAAGCCCCTTAACAGAGTACCATTAAAAACTTAACTTTAGCATGTCTTTTGCAGAAAATTAATAAAATTTTTCATAAAGTAATTACTAATACAGAAAGGATGTTTAATTTCAATAGAAGCAGGTTGTAAAAACACAAAGCTAGCATATTTAGTAACTAGTGTACAACTCTCCCTTCTAATCCTCTACCTCTAAGATTTCCACCCAGCCTAAGAAATACCTATGGAAGCAGATGACAATGAAACTTTATGACCTCTCTTTCCTTTCCCAAGRTCTAGCATCCTCTCCCTTTGGCCAAATTCACCTATCTTCAGCAGCCTTTGCCCCTTTGTTATGTCTTACTCATTACTGCTGTGGACCTAAGAATATTTATCACCATGGCTCTAAGATGAGCCAAATTCCACACCTGTAGCAGCTGCTCATTTATCTCTATATATAAGACAATCAAGAGTTGAGAATGTTTGTTTTTACAGTAAAATGGTGATGGTGAATGTTGAATTTTGAGATCAAATGTGTATTACACGATACTTTAGCTACATGGTACTTTCTCAATAACTTAAAAATTTTCCTAACATTTAAAATGATGAACTAAAATCACTGGAACCATTACATAATAGGTCTCATTCATAAACAAATGATATGACTRCTGGCAATCTTTATGAATGACTCAGGGTCAAATTAAAGTATTTATGATCAATAACTATCCTGAATCTTGGGRAAAAGAAGATTAAATCAAACTATTGCTCAAAGATTAAAAAGGAAAAATAAATTATTTTCTTTTACCATTTCCAATCATGTGYAGTTCATTTGCAAATACTATTTCATATACCTGAAAAAATTGACTTAGGACATCCAGGTTGTTTTTTTCCTCCATTTGGATAAAAATCTATATGTCCCAATGGCTCTTGGATACCTAAACCTAAGAAGAAAAGTACCCAAGAATCACAAAGTATATATAATCAGGTAGGCAACAATCACTTAAAACAAAATTGCTTACAAAATCTATTGAAAAGTACTCTTTAAATTTTTAAATTGAAAATAAAATAAAAGCTATTTTTTCAGATATGAGTTTCTATCATGTTAGTTTTTCAAATTAATTCTTTGTGAGATTATATTTTATTGATTCAATATATTTACCAGTCACCAGTTTACTATGGGCCAATCACAGTTCTTTATGCTATTAGTGCATAAATAAGTTTTTTAAAAATACAGCAAAAATCCTTGTAGTGGAATATACTTTCTAGTKGAAGAAAAATATGAGACAAATAAAAATATAATATTCAAGATAAGTGCTATGGAGCAAGTGGAACAGGGCGCAGAGCACACCTAGCTAGGGTGGTAGCTGAACTTTTCAGTAGTTTGTGCTTCCCACTGAGGAGGCTGAAAGTGAGTAAAGATATGGAGGATGTGAGCAGTAAGCCGCGGGTGATATGTGTGCCAGTAGACTTGGGGTATTTAAGGAAGCCAGGTGRCTGGAGCATAACATGTAAGAAGGATCATCAGAAGACAAGAATTCACACCATATATGACCCTTCTGGTCAGGGTGAGGATTTATTCTCATTTGGGGTTTTCATGCCTGGGAACAGCTGATGCTAACTGGTAAAACCTAAAGAGCACACTGCCTCAGCTGGTATGACTTGGGTCAGGGTGGCTTGCAACATACAGCTATGAGTCCCAGGATTCTGTAGATCTTAGATCTTTGGGGCACTGGTGAAGGTTGAAATTCTGAGTCCATTATCAATATGCAGTCTAATACCCAGGGAGCCACTAGAATGAAAAAAGGGTAGCAAGCTCAGAAAATTCAGGACTACAATTATAAAACCCTGTTGCCAAGTAAGATTGAAATGCTTTGGCTTAAGGCACAAGAAATTAWCACAGTTAACACTTGGAAGAAATCRGCAAAAGGTTTAGMATAACAATAAAATAATTGAGTCTGACATTAACTATTATGAYGCCAAAGATTCAGCCTCAGCAATTCAGTGAGGTCCTAAGAAACTTAATGAGACCCTCTCTATAAATTAAAAAATATATCTATCTATATCTATATCTATGGTAATATGCTCAGTGGTTAAGCTGGGTTCAATCTCTGGTACAAAAAAATAAAATGCCAAAGATTAAGATSCAGGAAATTTAACTAGTATATAATACTAAGAGAACACAGTAACAGCTAGGGAAGTATTAGAGGGACATGAGAGCACTGGTGATATACATAATGGTGGGGAAGTGAGGACCTTTAGCATATAAGGAAATATAAAAGACAACTTAGATGACTTTAATTAACGTCTCCAGATTCCAGGGCAGCTTATGCGTTGTATGACTGAAAGAAGAGTCAGTCCCTCTTTACATCTCATCTTATGCTCAGCTTATGGCATTTAAGCAAATATGAAATCCAACAATTTAGAGTTCTCTGAAGTTCCCTAATACCTAAGTGCAACATTGGGTTCTAATTCTGGAACCACTATTTCTCCAATCTGCCACTGGGTTTGACCCAAACAGGAAAGCTCCAGGATCAAGGGGAAGCAAAAGATACTTATTATAAACTTAGAAACAGCCCTTCATTCAGGCATGTTATTTTTCTTCTTATCAGATGCAGGGAACAGGGTGGCTTGGTCAGCTTAGAWCATTAATTCCCTTGATTTTAAGAATGATGGGGAGAACAAATATGGCCTTTGCATTTTCTATTTATTTTAAATTATAACAACATAAGAAAGTAACATAAAATAAAGGGCTACAAATACAGTATTCTGAGGCAAGTAGCCTCATACCTACTCATGTCAAGGAACAGCACCTAGTTGGCCTTTATCCAATCACAAGCTTTTATGTATCCTCTAAAGATAACAAACATCCTTTCCTTTAATGAAATCATTTTTATATAAATTTATACACTATGAATACATACAAGACACTACATATACATAAAACATATGCATATGCTTTTGTGTCTGTTTTTTTCTAATGATCAGTCTGTTTTTGATGTTACTCCACATGATCAGGTATGAAGGTTATTTACTGCTACGTAGCCCTTCAGTGTATGAGCATTCCACAGCTTTATTTGTCCTCTCTAGTTGGGAGACATTTGTGTTGTTTCTATTTTCGGGATAATATTCATTCATACTCTGAATAGTATTGAACATATATTCATGTACATGCAAACGCAAATCTGTTGACTGTACACTTGGAAGTGGAATTGCTRTTTTATAGACCATGAATATCTTCAGTTTTAATAAATAATGCAAAAGTGTTTCCAAAATGGCAGCACCAATTTAAGCCTCTATCAACCACATTTGAATATTTCTGTTGTTCTATAACCTCTTTAACAAATGGTCTTGCTAGGGTTTTGAATTTTGGGTCTCTTTATAAGCATGTGGTATTTCATTCAAGYTTTAATTTGCATTTTTCTTTTTACTAACTTTAAAAATGTTCCATATGGTTATTGTTTATTTGGAAWTTTTCCTTTATAAAAATGCCTGATCAAGCCTTGATTTTTAAAAAATATTTTTTTAGTTGTATATGAACACAATATCTTTATTTATTTATTTATTTATTTTTATGTGGTGCTGAGGATTGAACCCAGTGCCTCACACATGCCAGGCAAGTGTTCTACCACTGAGCCACAAACCCAGCCCAAGCCTTGATTTTTAAAATTTGATTATTTTTGTCCTTATTATTAATGCACTCTTGTTTTAAAGCTCTTTCTCCCCATATTTTTGGTTTGCTCTTTCTTTTCTTTTTTTTCCATATATTTTAGTTGTCAATGGACATTTATTTTATTTATTTATATGTGGTGCTGAGGATTGAACCTAGTGCCTCATACATGCTAGACAAGTGTTGTACCACTGAGACAGAACCCCAACCCCTTGCTTTTTACTTTCTGAAAGTTTTTTTTATTAAGTTATCAGTCTTAATGTAAACAAATATTTAAGTCTTCTCACTTGGGTTATGAACTTTGTGTGATTTGGGAAAAATACTATTCTCTACTCCAATATTATGAAKATTTTAAAATTGATACTACATAAACTATTTGCTTTTCCTTTTCCATACTATATGAAAAATGTGGAMAGGAWTTTAATTATATGTGAGTTAGAGGGTTTTTTCCAAACTTCAACAATTAACAGGTTGAAACAGAAATACTTGTTGAAATTTCATTTTCATTTCATTTTGCCCAGCTGTGCCCCACCTGCCATAAATCTCAGAAGTTTTACAAGAAACTTATTTTATTTTATTGAATTTTTTGTCTTCCTTATGTTAGTGCCACACTGTCTTCATTTCTATGAGTTTATAATAAAATTTGACATCTGTTAAAAATATGTACCTTTTTTCTTCAAGACTGCCTTAGCAATACTTAGCCCTTTTTACTCCAAATTAATTTAATACTTAGATTCTGAAGTTATTTTTTAAAAGATGGAATTTAGGTTTAAAAAAGGGGGGAAGAGGATCAAATCAATGACTATTAATGGCTTGAATAGAACAAATTATGTTTCCCAAAATTTTCATTTTTAGGATGATGTGATACTTCTTGAAACCTGAATGAGGCAAACTGAGGCGAGCAGTGCATTCGACAATGCAGGAAATCATTAACATGAAACATCTTGTCCACATCCCTTCTTCCTCTYATTATCTCCTCTTCTCCAGGATCTACATTTAATTTTTCATTTTTAAATCATTAAGCCACTGCTTTACCTTTGGCATCAGAATGGATGACATCTACAAATTTTGCATCAGTGTAATCTAATCTACTATTTGATGGCTTTCCAGTAAATTTTGGCCCAGCAGGATCAAGACCTGAAATTCAAGAAAGGAATGATTAATCTAATCAAGTCTTACTTTGATGCTCATTTATTGCTTGGTTGTATTATTATTTTTACATTAGAAACATACTAAGCACTTTAAGTTGAAATCTGCCCCAAAACCATATTTAAAGGTAAGTAAAACTTGATAAATAGCATGAATCTTCATTATTTGAATATTTAATRTCAACATTTGAAGACAGTCAAACTAAACCACCTTAAAGATACCTACACACAATATTTTGAAACATTTCTAGAATTTTCGTTTAGGTAACAATTGTTAGCAAATTAGAAGTTYTGTGTTTAATAACAACTATGACTTCTCCTGGAGGGGAAAAGATAATAAATAGTATGTGTTCACATTCTCTTAAGAAAAAAAATATTTAAAATTTCTATATAATATAAATATTACTTATAGAGTAGCTTAAATTTTACATAAAATTCTAGACTCATGACTTTCTGAATTGTATCAAAAGTCAGGGGAGATAAAATTAATTTCCTTGAAAGCAYCTATGCAGTGGAAGAAAGTACCATCTTAAAAATTTATTTGAAAAATATATTGCTCATCTTGGGCCCTTCTAGTATTTTATTTTATTTAAATAGCCCCAATATGTAGCCATTAAATTTGACTAATAGGTAGAAATATATATCCATCCATCCAGTTTTTTTTCACGTCTCCTTTTCCTATTTTCTAAAATTCAACTAAAAGTTTATTGTCTTTTATTAATACTTCAAAATGTTATCAATATTCTATGGACATACATATAAATAACTGTTTTAAAAATAACATAAATTGTTCAAGGAAGGATATTATAYTTCTTCTAAAATCACCACCACTTCTAGAGGAAGGAAGAAAGTCTATGTTGGCATTATTTGGTTACTGAGTTYTGTGGATACAGTAACTCTGTCATGGGAATATGTGAGAAATTGGGAATCAGAACTCCTCAAACTTGGATACCGACTCTTGATTCTTCTAGCACTCAAGTAAAACACTTTAAAAACTGAAATACAGTTTTGTGAAAATTAAGTACATCTCCATATTCTTATCATTCTTATCTCAGCATACATGAAGTACAATAAAGTTTAATTTAATGTGCCGAATTTTCCTGTGTATTCTTACAACAATAATTTAGATAGAAATACAGGGATAGATCTTTTCCTCTCATTTCTMTCTCAAGTCACATGAGCTGTATTCAGAACTAAAAAATATTTTAGAATCTTATTTATATCTAATATTTGAAGACAAGTACAGAAAAATAAATGTGCATACATAATTTGTATTGCTTYGTTTTTGTACCTGCTAAATTTTAAATAACTTCTGATACTTAAAAGTGTGCTAAAATAATAATTTATTAAAAATAGTTTTACCTGTTATTCTTCCAAGTCCACCATGAAATATCTTTCCAACAAAACCACTAATATGAGCTCCCAAGCTCATGCCTATGAAGTGAAAATTGTCAAGAGATGCTCCATGTGTCTACAATTGAAAATAAGAATGTCACAATTTTCATTTTGGGTATTTACAAATCTTGTCTCACACAACCATATTCTAAAACTCATTCTTTTTTTTCTCATGGCTTAATTCATTTCTGGGAGATAGAGAAGATAACTTTTTTAATTTCTGAAACAAGTTAAACTTTTATTTAATTATCATTAAACTTTTATTTTAAAGGTAAGTCACTATGTATAGCTTGCTTTTTGTTACAGCAGCTCAAATGAATTAAGACATACCCCAGATCAATCTGACTCCAAAGTTTATGCTAATCTGTCTCTCCATTTTCTCTGGTTAGATTCTATCAAAAATCCYAGAAAAGCTGGTGAAAGTGTAATAATCATTTCTACTTCAGAGATGATAAAATGAGGATTATGGATTTTAAGTGGCTTCCCCTATCACAAGCTGGATAGTGATGGAATCTAATCTGCCAAGGTCAGGGTTTGAAAACCTATTAGTCAATGGGTAGAGGTGAGAGGACGGAGGTGTTAGGAGCTTACATGAGGGTGTATTTCTTCCACCATATTCATAAGGAAATTGTAGAGRATCAAATCAATGACTATTAATGGCTTGAATAGAATGGTGACATGCCTGAAGGCTTACAGAAAGATGTAAATTGCCACTAAGGGAAAACTAGACAGGTTTTCCCAGCAACAAGCAATAAAGGTCTCCAAATACTTCAGAGCAATGCCCCAAAACTTGAAGGAAATATTTCTCCAAAGTGTAGTGCTACTGAACGATTTATGWTATTTTTTAAAACAGTTACTGAACTTTGAAGTATTGCTAGAAATTTATCTATGCTTCAAATTTTCCCAAATTTCTCTACTTATCTCTCACCCTTTCCATACTTTGAGGTTCATTTCTATTATGTAAAATCTATAACCAAAAAAAATTGATTGTGCACTTTTATAACCTACTGATAGCAATGAGTAAGGCAATTATCTCCTCTGCCTTTCACAGGGATGGTATTGTTTTCTCCAAATTAGGAAACATAAAAATAATAATGAAAGTTGATTGTATTCAATGATTACTAAATATTATTCATTGGTTAAACACATACATACACATTAACAYTTTTTATATATCTATGTATTCTTCTAATATTTCTATAAACATTATTATAAAATTTTATCTTAAATGCAAAAATAAGGAAATGCACATAGAGAGGCTAACGAATTGTGATGGTTAGTGAAGGATTTGGACTTTGAACCGCTGAGTCTGACTTMTAGCCACTAGATGTAGCTGCTTCTTGGATTTGCTATGTTTGTTTAATTTCAGCAAAGACTTGGAAGTTCAGCACAACATGTGCAATTTCAAGCCCAAGAATGTACCACAGACCAAATTAACCCTTCTGCCTTTCAATTACCCATTACCACCACCTCTCAGGACAAACATGAGTCTCCATAAATGTTGACATGGTTAAGAAAAATCATTCAAACTATAGATGACCCAGAACTGGCCTAAATTTACCTGACCCTCACTTTGAGCAAACCTGAATGGAATTTCCCTTGACATTGATAAAATTAATCTACTTTTCAGACTGTTTTCTCCTGTCTTTTACCAAATTCATATTTGATTAATGTAAACATGTTAAGACATATTTTAGGGAGAATATCTAAAGAATGAAAAGATTATATACTTTATCCCCTCTGCCCACATAGGATCACTACTTTATTCTGAAGTTAATTTAGTTAGAGTCAAAAAGTCTTACAATGTTTTAAATTAATCATAACAAGTGTTTATGAGAATTATTTTAAAATAAGGTAAAATCTAGATATACAATTATATTTTGATRCAAAATAATAAGACTGCACAAATTAGAATTTCAAAGCTATAATTTAAAATGCTTATGAAAAAAGTATTACTTTTATTATCACAAGTAGTATTACATAACACATTATATATTGTATAGCAAGATTAATGATAAAATTTCCAGACTTACCAAAAGATATTGAATGTACTCAGTCAAAGCCTCAGCAACTTTTCTGGTGTTTTTAACTGCTCTGTTGTAAATAAAAGTTGTAGCACCATGGTTCCAGTCTACTACAATTACATTAATATCTTCTTTATGCAATAAACTCCTTACAAAATTTGAAAGCCATGATGGAGTGGAGCCCATTGGTCTGTATCCATGAATCAGCCAGACTGTTTTCTTTTGTGTGTTGAAATTAACATTGAGTGAGTTATTGAGCCCTAAAAGTGGCTCAGCACAGTTCAGGTTGTTTCTTGTATACATCATCAGAACTATCTTTAATCTGGGAATAAACAAATCTTTTAAGGAATCCTTTACACTTAGATGAGAGAATTCAATGCATGGTCTTTTATTCTCTGAAATTAAAATTAAAAAAGTCAATCAAGCTGAGAACTTAGATATTATTGGATTTTTGATGCTGTTATAAAGAACAGAATTGAATATGAGGGTTGGGGGATTTCAAAATTTTATTAGCAATCAAATATAATTCACTAATCAACTGCACTGTTCAAAGTAATGCACTGATTAGGCAAAAAATTATAATTTCTAAACTAGAAATAATTAAAAAGTTACAATAAAAATATAAATAAATATGATTGGTTAAAAATCATGAGTTGTTTATCTGTATAAAATAGGAAATTATAGCAATGTTTGTGACTAAAGTCATGAATATTGCTAATAAAGAAGTGATGAGCCCACCACCAATAAGACAGATAAAATGATTTTGAATTATGAACTTTAACAATAGCTTTATAGAATAGTACTTATATATGAATAATAAGCTTTAGGTAAAAAGACATTTTACTTGACCAGTTCTCTAATGAATATGAATAAAAACAAGATAACATTTTCCTATCAAATAAAAATAGGAAAATCTTCCTATACCATTGATAAGGGTAAATACCAAATGACTGATAAACACAAACAGTGAGAACATATAAAATGACACAGTCTTTRAAAAATTTATATTTATGTGTGTATCTCCATATGTGTGCACCACACACTTATTCTTGGCACAAAATTATAAATCACTTTAAATGTCATTATGAAACTATATGTGTTCTCTCCCTCTCTCTCTCCCTCTCTCTTTCTCTTTCTTTCTCTCTCCCTTTATAATTCCCAGAAGAAACCAAGGCAGAAAATAAAATAACTAAGAAAGATTAAAAATGCTCATTGCCACATAGTAAAACAACAGCCGCTTTTTATTTTCTCTTTCATAGATTTTCAGAATTGTAACTCTTTTCATAATAACAACATAATCCCAAAARTTTTTTTCCAAATGAACTTTTAATGAGAATGCGTGCTTATATTCCTTCTTGAACATTAACTCTATAATATTCGGAAGAGAATTTGTCAACATATATGAAATATTCACAAATGTGTTAGTATATTTTATCTCAGCAAATCTACTTCTAAGAATCTATCAGAAAAAAAAAAAACAAAAAGAAATGAACTAACAAATTTATTCTGGACATATATATTTTATAATGATCTTAATTGTGAATATATATTTACAATATTGTCATAATCACTGAGATACAATAAAAGGAGAAAGACATTGAAGGAGAAGCAAGTTATACATTCAATTCCCAGGCAAAAATACTAAGGTATCCTTGGAAAAGTTAAAACTTTGATTCTTTATATGTTTTAAGTACTAGAGAATGAGGAAGASAAGGAATAGATTGAATCATAGTGCCTATGAATGCTTGCTACACTGTTCAAGTTGTGTAAGAAATTCTGTACCTCCACCTTATCTTATCAGCAGAACTTGGACAAGGGCCAAATGCAATCAATGAATCCAAACTGCTGACCCACTCCAACTCTAGGTAGCTGTTACATGGCCCTAGAATGAATAATGGGGAATTATTCAGTAGGATTACTGTGAAAAAAAATTAAAGGAAAGAAATTATYATCCAAAACCACCAGCAGAGAAATATATTATTTATTACCAGATGTACAAATAATTGCAGAAATAATTTCTATAGAGATAGCATCCCCATTGGAATGCGAAGAAAAATCTCATTTCAGAAACACAAAGCAGGAAGCCATTAAGAGAAAATTAACTGAAGTTAAAAAAGAAGAAAAAAAAAACACAGCATCACATGGAGAACAGAATAATGAAATATTCTAGTTTATGAAATTAAAAAGAAGCAATTACAGAATTAAAATTCATATTATAAATGTTATAACAAACATGGAACTCTCTTATAGCAAGAAATAAAACAAGAAAAATTAAAATTATGAAGGGAAACATACATACAAGAGAAAGAAAGATGATTCAAATCTTAAAATGTTGTTGTTCCATGGGCTGGGGCATTGGGGAGGGGGTAGGCAGAAACTACAAAAATTAAGGGAATTGCATACCGGGAGTTGCAAACTGAGAAGGTTCACTACAATGCAGAGAAAGCCAGTTAATCAGACTCACCAAGAGGTTTCCTAGAAATTCGTTTGGAGTTCCATGAAAGAGAGAAATATCCTAAAAATAGTAAGGCAGAAAATATAGGTTACAAACAGAGGAATGAAGTAATGATGACTTCATGTTTTCCTTTAAATGAATACATCAGACAGACAAAAGTTATAAGTGGAAAGTTTGGGGCCTAAGAAGTCTATGTCTTTCTAGAGGACTCTACTAAGAATAATACAGCACACTTTCTGAATCATYACTGTTACTTAAAAATGTTGGATTTATTGGAGATGAGATCGACAGAATTTCATAGTATAAAAAAGATTGAAAGTGAATGTGCAAATAAGGTGAACACTGATTTAGGCTGAATGTTACAAAATTGGATAAAACAGAAAAGCAATACCAAGAGTTATTTCTGTATGTCCAAATTAAACTAATAAGATAGAAGAATATATTAAAAGGAGTATAGAGGAAGTGGGCTTGGTGCAAAAAGTCCTTAATAGAGGAATTTGTAAAATTTCAAAATTTGTAACTGTAGAAATAGAAAAACAGGGTTTTAAAAAAAAWATTGAAAACCCAAATGTCAACTGCTATGCTATGTAAAACATAACACATAAATTTCTAAATATAAAAATATTTAGAATATAAATTAAATATTTACTCGTATAACAATATATATATACAAAAGAAAAGAAAATTTGAAAACTGAAGTAATGAAACTAGAAAGCATAAGACAACGATAAAGTTACACTAGAGAAAAAAAAATATGATATGTAAATAGACATGTAACTGTAAAGTTGACCTATTAAAAAGCAATCAATTTCAGCTTTTGTAAAAATAAATAAATAAATAAATAAATAAATAAGAATAACACATTTAGAATAAGAACACAGGGCTGGGGTCGTGGCTTAGTGGTAAGAGTGCTTGCTTAGCATGCATGGCGTAGCATGCATGAGGCGCTAGGTTTGTTCCCCAGCACCACATAAGAAAATTAAATAAACAAAATAAAGATATTGTGTCCATCTACAACTAAAAATATTTTAAAAATAAATAAGAATATAAATGGACAGATAAGTATATTCCTCACAAAAGGGGCATAGGCAGCTTTGTTAGAGCACAATGATGGTTCCAATTCATCACCCTTTCCCAAGTCCGGGCCATTTACTGTGTCACTGAGGTATTCTCTCATTTAAGTGAGGTGATTTGCCCCAAACCCACAATGAAGAAACAAAAATAGGACTTTCTTTGACAAATAGTACCTTAAGAGACTTGAAGGAAGCAGAGGCTTGAAATGGACTTGTACCAGGCGACTTACACTTCCACACCTCTGCCATCACATGAAAACAACCCTGGTCTGTCCAGCTAGAAGATGAGACAGGTGTGGAAAAGCTTATTTCCTCAGTTGTGCTAGGCACTAGTCAGTCCAGATGATGGCCACTCAACAGTCAGACATGCTGGTGATCACAACCAAAAGCAAGAATAATAATTGTTCCTTATTATGTTCCACTGAGTCCACAGGTGAGAATAATGGATTYACATCAAGTGCCACTAAGGATGTTAGCTTTTATTTTGTTTTGGCTTTATTTTTGCCTGATTATAATATTGTAGGAAAGAGAGTGAAAACAAGAGATACCAAATAATACAAAAGAGTTAACATAGTGTATTGTTAGACTTAAAGAGCATTAAATTGATTTAATTCTAGATCTTTGGAGTAGAAAGAAGAATAAAATTCTAGGCATCAAAAATATATCAGAATCCTCATAAAATTAACATTAACAATTAGGTATAAATTGAAATATTCCCAAACAAGCTGGAAGCTCCTTTACTTACTAGACTTGCCCTATAAGAAATGCTAATGCATCTTTCAAATTGAAATAAAAGTCCACTAGATAGTAATTTGAAGTCATGAAAATATAAAGTTCTCCAGTAAAGACAAAACACATGACAAATACAGAAAACAATACTATCATAATTTTGGTTTATAACTTTACTTTTCTGTAAAAGCATGTCAGTATGAAAATCAACTAAACATAACAAAAGGTAATAATGTAGGAAATGAAGAACAAAAAAGGATTTAAAAGACAAATGCATAGAAATAACTGTAAGTGCATGTTCAAGGGTAGACAATGTATAAAGACAAAARTTTTGTCATCAGTAACATTAAGTARGGTGGAGTGGAACTTTAGAGAGGTAGTATTTTTATGGGATTGAATTTAATTTAGTATCAGTTTAAGTTGGATTGGTATAATTTTAGTATGTTATTTGTGGTCTCCATCGTAACCTCATAGAAACTATCTATAGGATTTACAAGAAAGGGAATGAGACTAAAAGCATGTCARTATGAAAGCCAACTAAACACAACAAAAGGCMCTGATGTAGGAAATGAGGAACAAAAAAAGACTTGAAGACATGTAGAAAACTAATGACAAAAGAGTAGATCACCGCAGATGAATGTAGATGTATTGAAACCCCTAATCTAAAGATGTACATTGGCAGAATGGGAAACAAACAAACAAAACAAAACAAAAAATCTAGCCTCCAACTATATTCTATCTATAACAGACTCATTTTGTCAAAAGATGAAAAAAAAATATTCAATTCAAAAGAGAGTAGAAACGCTACACTAATACCAGACAAAATAACTTTATAAATTAAAAATTGTTAAAAGATTAGGAAAAACACTATAAAGCTTAAACAATAAAACCTCCAAAGAAAACAGAAATAGAAACAGAATAGAACTTTATTAAATTGGATTTAGCACTGATTCCCTGATTTCTCAAAGACTACCAAAAAGATTTTAAAAAGCACTAGCAATGAAAGCAAAAGTAGATAAGTTTAGTTTTATCAAAATTAAAAGCTTTTGTGCATTAAAGGACAGAATCAACAAAATGAAAAGACAAMCCACAGAATGGGGAAATATATTCATAAAAAAACAGATAATTTTCAGATTAA